TAGTACTAGAAAATGAAGTTAGATCAGTTCTCCAGTCATTTTTAAGTTGGAAAGCTGCAGAAACTACGCCAGCAAATCTGCAACATAACACAGTGATTAACAGGTTGGAAGAAGTCAGTCTACATAGCAATAATAGAAAAGAGACTTAAGACAATGTGCAAAATATGTGTACATTAAGGATTTCCTTAATTTCAGGTCGTAGCAAAATAATGCTTAGGACCATCCAACACAGATTAATTCTATATGGAAAAGAAGGTATTCAATCTGATTTTAGAAAAGACCAGGAAACAAGAAGCATTGCTGCCAATGAACACTGACTAATTTAAAAACTCAAAGAAGTCCAGGAAAACTCAGTATGGGCCTTCAGTTATGTTGACCATGTCAAATTGTGGAATGTGCTTTGATAAATGAGAGTCCGAGGACATCTCATTGTCCTCATTTGTGATCTGTGGGGACATAGAGCTACAGTCCAGATAGAACATGGCAAACCAAACTCTCCTATTTATAATCTGACAATAGATTGAGGGAGTAAAAGGTAAAAAGGATGAGTATGGTTTTAAAACTAGAACAGAACAGAACAGAATAGAACAGAACATTTTATTTGGCCAATCGTGATTAGAAACACAAGGAATTTGTCTCCAATGCAGAAAGTACATGCAAAATACATGCAAAGCCACAGAGTAATAATAATCATAATATAATACTAATAAGAGTGGGTAGTAGAGAAGATGAAAAGATACAACATGTATAAATATATTTAGACATAAAACAATACTGTGAGGATTAGGTGTTCAGCAGCAGAGTGATGGCACAAGGGAAAAAACTGTCCCTGTGTCTATATGTTTGGCATGCAATGCCCTATAGTGCTGTCCTGAGGGGAGTAGTTGAAATAGATTATGTCCAGGATGTGAGGGGTCCGCAGGTATTTTCTCAGCCCTCTTTCTGGTCTGTGCAGTGTACAGGTCCTCAATGGAAGGTAGGCTGTTTGCGATTGTTTTTTCTGCAGATCTAACTACCCATTGGAGCCTGTACCTGTCCTGTTTACTTGCTGTACCAAACCAGTTATCAAAATACAAATGACAGACTTAATAATTCCTCTGTAGAACTGTATCAACAGCTCTTGGGGCAGTCTGAACTTCCTAAGTTGATGCAGGAAGAGCATTGTTTGTTGTGTGTTTTTTTAGTGATGGTTCTAGTGTTAGGTGTCTATTTCAAATTATAGAGTCGAGAAACCTGAAGAATTTTACTGCTGATATTGTGCTGTCAAATATAGTAAGAGGCAGTAGAGTAGGAGGGCTCTTCCTAAAATCCATTCTCATCTCTACAGTTTTAAGCATGTTCAGCTCCAGATTATTCCAGCTGCATCATACCACCAGTTGTTCAACCTCTCATCTATGTGCAGATTCATCACCATCTTGAATGAGACCAATGACTATTGTTTTATCTGCAAACTTCAGTACTTTAACAAATGGATCCTTAGAAATCCAGTCATTGGTGTAGAGAGAGAAGATCAATGCAGAGAGCACCCAGTCCTGGAGGGTGCCTGTGCTAATTGGCTGGGTGTTGATGTGATTTCCCCTAGTTTCTCACCTGTTGCTTCCTATCTGTCAAAAAGCTAATAACCCCCTTATGAGTATGGACAGGTACAGTTAGCTGAATCAATTTGAAGTGAAGTTTTTCTGGAATGATAGTATTGAATGCTGAGCTGAAGTCTACAAAAAGGACCCATGCGTAAGTCCCTGGGAATTCAAGATGTTGCAAGATGTAGTGCAGTGCCATATTGACAGCATCATCTGCCAATTTATTTGTTTGGTAGGCAAACTGCAAGGGATCTAACAGTGGATCTGTGATGCTTTTCAAGTGGATCGGCACTAACCTCTCAAAGGTCTTCATATCTACAGATATCAGTGCAACTGGTCTGTAGTCATTCAGCACCTTGATAGAGGGTTTCTTGGGAACCAGGATAATAGTAGAGCATTTGAAGCAAGAAGGGACATAGCATATCTCCAGTGATTTATTAAAGATGTGTGTGAAGATAGGGGCCAGTTGATCAGCACAGGTTTTCAAGCAAGAAGGAGTTACATCATATAGACCCGGTGCCTTTTCAATCTTCTGTCTATGAAACAGGTCTTGCGCATCTTTTTCTAAGATCACCAGAGATGGGGGGGGGCTAGAGAGTTGAAGGTAGGTGTAGGAGATTTGGCTATGGTTGGTGATCTCTTCTCAAATCTATAATAGAACACATTAAAGCCTTCTGCAAGCTGACAATTCCCTATAGTAAGGGAGGAAAGTCTGCTATAGCCAATGAGGAAGAAACATCAATAACTTGCACTATGATGATGACATTACTCTGATAGCTGAAAATGCTCTGAAAGCTGTAATGATCAAAGTCAAGGAACACATTGAAAAAAAATGGACTAAGATTTTATATAAAGAAGAAAAGTAATGACAACAAGTACAGCAACCAGCCTCAGCACTGACAATGAAAATGCCAAAGTGGTGGGTATCTTCTGCCTTTTAGGGTGAACTATCAACAATAATAGGAAGCAGAAGTTAAGAAATACATTGTAGACCATCACTGAGTAGTATAGCAATGGACATCTTGGAAAATGCAGTTAAATGCTGTGTTGAGTATAAACCTATAAAGATCAAAATAATGCAGGAGATGAATTTTCTGTGTGACACAATGGAAGTGAAAGTTAAAAAAGCATGACAGAAAAAATATAGATGCTTTTGAGCTTTCATGTTGAGAAGACTGAGATTACCATGGATAGCCAAGGGAAAAAAAAGACAAATGTGGCCTAAAACAAATCAATTCAGAGTCTTATGTGAGATACAAATGACCAGGCTCAAATTATCATATTTTGGATATATAAAGACCAGCTCCCTTGAGAAATCCATAATGATGGGAAAGGTGGAAGGGAAGAGGAAAAAGAGGATGAGTAGTAGCAACATGGATGATCTCATTTATTGTGGCAATGATATACCATTGGAAGATCTGGAAAACCAGGCTGGAAACAGATCATCTTGTATAAGTTCTACTTAAGTGACTACTAAGAAATAAAACTGAGTTGATGGCCACAGTAGAAAACCTTTGCATGAAAAATGGTTCAAACTATCTCAACAGATTTTTTTACAGCAGAGATTTCATAGTAGTCAATCAATCAGAATAGAGCTGGAAGGGACCTTGGAGGTCTTCTAGACCAACCTCCTATACCATTTCAGATAGATGACTGTCTTTTCTTAAATACCTCCAGTGATGAAGCAACTTCTTACAACTTCTAAAGGCAAGCTGTTCCACTGGTTAATTGTCCTTACTGTTAGGAAGTTTCTCCTTAATTCCAGGTTGCTTCTTTCCTTCATTAGTTTCCATCCATTGTTTCTTGTCTTACCTTCTGGTACTTTGGAAAATAAGTTGACACCACCTCTTTGTGGCAGCCCCTCAAATACTGGAATGTTCCTCCTAGTCCTTTTCTCTAGACTAGCCATACCCAATTCCTGCAACTGTTCTTCATATTTTTTTTGTCTCCAGGTCCTTAGTTGCTCTTCTTTGCACTTTTTCCAAAGTTTCAACATATTTTTTGTAATATGGTGACCAAAACTGGATGCAGTATTCTAGGTGTGGTCTTACTAAGGCTTTATAAAGCGGTACTAATACTCCCTGTGAATTTGATTCTATGCCTCTGTTTATGCAACCAAAGATTGTATTAGCTTTTTTGGCTGCTGCCGCACTCATTTGGCTCATGTTTGAATGATCATCCACTAGGACTCCAAGGTCCCTCTCACAGTTACTGGTTTTGAGCCAGATTTCACCTAATCTGTATTTGGTTTTTCCTGCCTAGGTGTAAATTCTTGCTTTTTCTCCACATTAAATTTCATGTCATTGGATACGGCCCATTGTTCAAGTCTGTCAAGATCATTTTGGATCCTGAGCTTGTCTTCTGGGGTGTTGGCTATTCCTGCCAGTGTTATCTGCAAATTTGATGAGTTACTCTTCTATTCCCTTGCCTAAGTCATTTATGAAGATATTGAAAAATACTGGGTCTAAGATGGAACCTGGTGGTACCACACTGCTTACTTCTCTCCATGTCGACATAGTTCCATTAAGGACTACTCACTGAATATGGTTTGTCAGCTAGTTATAAATCCAACCGGTGGTGAAGCTGTCTATCTCACATTTTTATAGTTTACCAAGAAGTAGGTTGTGGTCTGCTTTGTTGAATGCCTTGCTGAAGTCTAAGTATACTATGTCCACAGTGTTTCACACAGTTTTCCCCAGTCTAGGTGTCCTTTAGATGTGTGGACCTTAGCTTCCAGAATTCACCAACCAGCAAGACCATTGCTGAAAATTTTGGAATGACCCACTTACTGAAAAGCAAGACTATTTTAGATAGTAACTACCCATCTGAGTGTAATTATAACAGTTTCATCAATCAGACTGAAGGTTCACCTAATGCAGGGGAGGGCATCTGTTATGTGTTTTTATAATTTGGTGGAGCAAGAGATACGTGTGGTGATCCAATGATATTCCCAGCTATGTGTGGTCACCTTAGTAGGAGTTGGAATAGAAATCAAATATAAATTTCCAGCCATTTTTGTTAAGATTATAAAAAAAAATAATGCAGCTGAAATTTCAGGATTATGATCTTCAGATGCTCTTTCCTCTGAAATATGGAAAGTGGAGATTCTCATGGAGAATGTAGGCTCCCCAGCACAGATAATGGCAGTTCCATTCTAGTCCAAGTAAATTTCAATTATATGTAACTCTTATCCATTCTTACTTTTCCAATTAATTAGCTGATCAACAGATGGCTTACAGCAAATTTATCACTGAATTCAAATAATTAGCCAATTTCTTCATACACTGGGAGTAAAGGTCTTCAAATAAATAAATAAACAAACAGATGAGTACATAAAAGTGGGAGAATATGATATTGATAATTCTGCCCATTCTTTGATTTCTAGTCTTGCTAATTATGATACTGCAGGCTTGAATAGGTGAGTTGGATTTATACATGCAATGGAGGGTGGGTTAATGTTTTCATTCATTCATTCATTCAATTTATATAGCCACCTACTTTACATACATTAGACAGCTTACAGTAAAATAGATAAAATATATAGCATAAAAAAAATAAAACACGTAGCAGCCAAGTAACAAAAACCAACTATCAACACAGCCAGGAGATAGGCTCTATTGAGCATTCAGGCCAGGGGTCCCCAACACCTGGTCGTGGACTGGCACCAGGCTGTAGCATGGCAGAAACTGGGCCATGTAAACAAGCAAAGCCCAATCCGTGGGATGCAGGCTGCAAGCTAAACCATGCCCCCTCCAGTCCGCGGAAAAACCTCTCTCCATGTAACTGGTCCCTTGTGCCCAAAAGGTTGGGGGGGGCACTGAATTAGGGTCTCAGGCTTGGGCACAAAACCAAGTTTTCAGCAGGAACAAGGCTAATCTAACCTCAAATGATGTTCCAAAAGGCAGGAGCTCCTTCTGGGCACTTCTTCTGGGACCGGCCAGATGGTATTCCATAGCCAATGGTACCCAGAACATACAACTCCTGCCAGATCAAGTTGGATGGGTAGAGATCATTGGGGAGAGATAAATCCATAAGTAACCTGGTTACATTTATAGGAAGCATGCTCTTCTTGGGTACTCAGCTCTGCATTATTGAAAATGGATCCTCTGATCCTCTGTGTCTTTCTCTCTTTCATCCATACCTTTTTCAAAAAAAAATACAACAACTAAAACAGTGAGAAATTTTAACGTATCCCCTTCTACTACAGCTGGCCTTTAAAAAGGGGAAGAACAGCAGTAGCCAGCAACAGAGTTTGTGAGTTGGATGGAGATGTCCTGCCATCCACAGCACACTGGGCTTCATGATCTAGAACAGTATTTCTCAATCTGGGCAACTTTAAGATGTGTGGACTTCAGCTCCCAAAATTCCCCAGCTAGCTCCATGTCTGGGAATAGAAGTTCATACATCTTAAAGTTGCCAAGTTTGAGAATACTGCTCTAGAAGGACAAAATAGAAAGCTTGGTGCTAGAAGGAACAAAGATCTGAACTGGGGGTATACTGTTGTATTTCTGTGAACCATTGTCCCACTGCTCTATTCTGATGATATTTTTAAAATTCTGTTAATATTTTTGGAAATGAAATGAGGGCAGAAGGTGATATAGTATCAGATGCAGGAGCTTTGAAGTGTCTTTATCAAGAATGCCTCCAGGCCCAAAGAAATACCATAAACCTTCTTCAAAAACAATATGATGCAGTACTGTAGGTATAACATCTGACCAAAAAGGGTAAAAGAAGTAAACTGGGTGACAAGAAAGATTATATGGGGGGCAGGAAGGCTAGAGGTAATACTAGTCCCATCAGTTTGCTTTCTGGTAAATGGATAGTGAGTATAGCCTTTTTATACATTAGAAGCTCTCTCCCTTGGCAATCATTTTGTGAAAGTTCTCAAGTGTTCTCAAAATTCTCAGTATGCCTATAAACTCCAAAGCTTTGCCTAGGAATTGGATTATGTTATGACTCAGCATATGGTAGGAACAAAATCCTGGCCTAGCACCATGCATAAATAGATCGTCATATTAATATGATTTATTTCTGTGCTTTGTTTGAAAATGTAATCATGAAACAAACAATTACCCCTCAGCTACAGCCTGTTTGCCCAGATATAGGAATTAAATGGGCATGAGAGCCTGTTTGTGTAGGGGTTAACAGTATTGGAGTAGAAGCCCAGACACAGTGAGTTCTAGTCCTGCTTTAGGCAGGAAGCCAGCTGGGTGACTTTGAACCAGTTACTCAGCCTTGGGAAGAAGGCAATGACAAACCACATGCAAAAGTGCTGCCAAGGAAACTGCATGGATTTGTCTATGAAGTTGCCAGGAGTCTAGACTGACCAAAGGGAGACATTTATATCAGCCAGGCAATTTAGCCAACAGGAAAAGGCTGAAACTAAGTAAAGCACATGCTTTCTATGGAAAAGATTGTAAACTCCGTTTTTCATATCTACTGTATGATTAAACAGATTTTATATTTCACATAGCCTCTGCCCTGGGCCACTGTCAATCTGTCATGCTATAATCTGGGTTAAACCACATTCCCTGCAGTTTTGGCTGTTATCTTCATCAGAACGAAATACAATTGATCACCCATCACATAA